CTCTCTCTCTCTCTCTCTCTCTCTCTCTCTCTCTCTCTCTATCGGTGCGTGTGTGTATTTGAATTGATATGAAAGGACTTCCGACAGCGATGGCGTCTCTGGATCAGCCACCGCGAGAAGCGACAACGGGAGGGAGTACGACTGACTGAGGCGAGAACGAAGCCCGTGTCATATTGTTTGGCGTTGCCGTTGCACGGGTCTTTCTAGTTCTTGGCATCTTATGACATATAAAAACAGAGCATACCTGTTAAATATCACAGCAGTCCTCTCCCTTTTAGCTTAAAGGTGCAGTACTGACACGACGCACAGTGGGCTCAAACCGGGAAAAAGCGGCCAAAAGTCCCATTTTCAAATGTTGAATTGCACGCTTTTCGACAGCCAGTTCTTGTTTATAGATGTCTACACGAACTACTACCACCTGGGGAACCCAAGAATTCACTGGCCTTTAAGGTCTTTTGACACTTCAAAAAGTGCTAATTTCGACATGAAGTGTCCCAAGAGCAAGAGCTCCTGGGTGGTACTTTTGCAGCATAGTGATTTTGGCGTCCATTCAGACTTGGTCAGATTAACAATGACAGTTGTTGTAAAGCTAAGTGCATTGAGATATTTGGACCCCGCGCGCAAAAGCTACGAGGTATTCTGTAATGTATACAGCAATGAAATAATGAACCCTACTCGGGTTTTGGAACAGTTCTAGCATCTGCCATCACGCATCCGTAAACGTTTTCAGCTTTGCCCGCCGAGAGTCTGAATCTATAGCGCCCATAAGGAATGATTGGGACCCTTGGAAAAGTCCAGTCTACTGGCGTGTTATTAACCTTGTAAACTCCCTGTAGATCGAAGTTATTATTACAGTCTATAAGATTGCAAGTACTATGTGTTTGAAGCCGCAAATATTAAATATCAAACAAAATTAATTCGTTACAGGATGGCGAGAGCAAATTACTTGCCATCTAAGTACTTACTGGTTTGACTATGCACCTGCCTTTATTTTCTTGCATCATTTGCGTCTTAAAGAACTGCTCATAAAATCCTGGCATATTATCCGTAAGAGCGTGACATGCACCGTTTTTGAAGTAAAAGATAAAGGCGTTCTCTTTCCATTGGTTGTTTGACCAGAGATCCACAACTACTTTTGCCTGTAATATCAGAGATTTGGTGCTTCTAAAATTTGCTTTTTACACCGTGGTTAAAGCTGGTGGCATTTACAAGTAAGTGTTTGGATGTCACACCACTTTTTAAAATGTCTTACCCAGCAGCTGTCATCAATAGCTACATTTACACCAGTCACATTGCCCGTCACAAGTTGCAACTCTTTTGGTTTATATGGGTTGAAGTGGGAAGCACGCAAATGCCAGTTCCAGGGAAGCGTGGTGTTGTTTGGGTCACACGAGTAAAAGAGTTCTCCGTAAGCCACGTAAGGACCCTGTTCGAAAAAGAGATGTGAAACCTCGTCGTTAAGATGAACGTCCCCTTAGAACATTTGTTTATCAAAAGAACACCATTTGAGGCTATTGCCACGACAAATGCATATTCTTTGAGGTCATAGTTCAGGCACGTTATCGACAAAATACTCTGTTAAAATTTATCTTGTTGGATTACATTTTTTGTTACTTGTTCTTTACCTTCCACACCTCTTCTTGGGAGGTAGAGAACTAGTATTTCTTTTGCTCAAAATGGTGTAATTTAGTTTCCACTTTCAGCAAAGGAAAGGTAATACATACGTTGTGTAACCAAAACGTTGCATTTAGTGTCTTAATGAATCAATAATTGAGTTTTTTTCTACATTCAAGCAAAATTTTAAGAAATAATGAATCTAAAAATCGAGCAAACACAATGCATCGCGAATATTACATGGGCATTGAAAACTTGTATTACTACTTACAACTAAAGAGTTGTATCGTTTGCCGTGGATGGCTTGCTGGCACATGAGTGCTAGAGGCACGAGTAGGATCTTCATTCGAACGGCATGGGTACCAGAATACTAGCAGCGAAACTAGAATGGATAGTTCCATGGTGATCTCGTTTACGACACTGTATTGTGCTGTCGTGCAGCCGCACTGGTTGGCGGCTGGCGTGCAGACGTTAACTACTTTTACAACAAAGAAACAAAAAAGTAATCAGATTGGTGGCAGGATTTTTATACAAAGGAGGTTTCCGGCTGATTGTGACAGGACCTCACGCGAGATGATAGAGTCGGAAGCTACTGCTGTGCGACCTATAATGTGTTCTCCATTTCTAATGAGATCTCAATTTCAGTCTAGTACGAGCTCCCCCGCGACATAACAGCTATGGATGACAACATAATCTATAGAATTTTCGGCCAGCCTATTTTGGCTGTCTACCCAGACGAGGTTCTCCAAGCAGTTCGTTCTATGTAAAACAACAGTTTTCATTGAAGGTTGGCCGCAGTTCCATTACTGTTATACTGATAAATGAAGTGTTCAACCGTTTTCGTTGTACACCACTCAGCTGACCTCTAAGCTACGTTCAGATAGCAAATCACGATAGGAGCCATTCTCATCCTGTGCCTATTATTTTGACCCATTGTCAGTATTGCTGCTGCGCAAAAAGCCTTTATGATCTACTGAAAACACTGTCACTAATAATACGAAATAATTCCTTTTGACATTACTGACAATTTTTCTTTTATCGGTTAGTAACTTACAAAAGTATACGCAATAAAATTTGAATGAATTAGTGAGTAATCTTGCTGCGTTACAATAACTATTACATAACTATAAAATTTACTAATAAATGTATTAGTACAGGTCTGGGAGTGAATTTTTTCACACCTTTACCCCCCTAAGTGTACGAATGGAATGTCGCTCACCTGCAGGTGAGCGACATTCACACACTTGCATTTCCAGTGTGAGCAACTGGTTAAAAGAGAGAGAGAGAGGGAGGGGGAAAAGAAAGTGAGATACAGAAGAAAAATATCATCCGTCCACCTAGTAATCTATTGCAATGTTCTGCCCCGCCCTGAAATTGGCTTGGCAAATTAATTTCAACACCATCACCGAATCCTGCACTTCCCGCGCGCCTGGCGCCTCCCCTGTCTACTGCCGCGTGGAATTAAAACGACATTAGACGAGACAATGTCCCAGCAATCCGGTGTAAAATCAACACATGCGCCTCGCGCCAACCACACACGCAAGCATACACACGCACACACACACACACACACACGCGCGCGCGCGCGCGCGCTTGCACGTCACCTATGAAGGAGCTTTTTGGGTCCTGGCGATTAAACAAGCGAACATAGCCTGCGCGACGCCGCCGAGGGCGCCGGGCGCGAAAGGGAGTGAAAGGCCGCTCATTTGCCTCCTCCATCTACCCTCGTCAGCGCCGCAATTCCCTCTCTCTCCCCCCCCCCTTTCTCTGCTTCTCTC